GCGCAGCGCGGTAAAACGGAACAGCGACCACAGGGCACGCAACAATTGTTTGAATTTTGATATTAACAATACCAGGTATTAAGTCCACCAAAAAACGGCGGCACTGACGCCGTTGTGTCGGTTGTGTGATGGGGAGTGTGAGACAAATGCCCGGAAGTTGTCGGATACCGCAACACAAGAAGCAGCAGTTCCGTATAAATGTTGAGGGCGCTGATTGCACTTGGAAAAACGCCTGCTCTGAATGATGCCTGTCATACACAGACAGCGCATACTCGCCGTCATACATGAATCAAAGTCGGCTCCACCCGACTGCACTGTCCCACAGCGCCTTAACTATCGCGTCAAGTCTCGTGTGCCATGTACTGGAAGCTATTTGTGGGCACGACAAAACTCAACAACATGGGGAACGGCCCTGTCAGTTGTTTGAGGTTCAAGCCCCGCCAAGATAGAGCAAATGGGCAGCATACACGCAGTGTTGCGGCATGTCCGACTGCTGCGGCGCTCACCAACAAAATTGAATACTTGTACATAGATCGGAACGAAAAAGAGACACCACCGCACTGCTTGGTTCTCCGAGAAGTGAACGGTTCAAAAACAGGTACGCGCAAGAGCTCGGCAAAAGACAGCACCCTGGCATATGGAATGTACCTGCAGACCAGCCCCAGGTACACTCAAACCTTGACAGGAGCGCAGCAACATACAGCACAATTGCATACCACGTAATGTAGAGCACCTGCAAATCTTTGTCGAGAGCCTCCCACTCTTCCACCCAAACGCCGTAGTTAGGTATCCAGCGCTTCTCCAAGTTGGGGTCGATGATGCACACCTTGAGGCCGTGCTTTTCGGCCAGGAGAGTAGCCTGGGCGTGCATGAGGCACGTCGGACAGGCTCAACTCAAACAAACATCGTCGTTGTGGTCGTTGTTGGTACAACGTTAACTGCACTCGATCCTGCCGCAATACCCGATGTTACCACACCTACATGTACCGCGTATCGCGGAGGATATCGTGTAAAGCGACCCTACGTCGTGGGCATCGCCCTACGGCCCTGCTTGCCCAAGCACCTTCACCTATTCACTGCTTGCACATAAGGTTTCAACGCGTACTGACTAGAACAACATGTGCCGACTCTCTCACGGTTAGCAGTACCACATGCACATGAACGGAGCTGCGCTGAATTGGGTTGGTGTGGCTAGTGATGGACCTCCGGGGGAGGAAAACCATTTCGAGTACAAAAACCCTCCTGTGGGAAAGGTTGTCGTCTACTCCAATATTTTATGGCCTGGGTGCTTCACGCTTCATGGTTTGGGAAGGGTGCTCCAGCAACAGGCACGAAATAAGACTAACACGAGAGACGACTGCACCTATGGCAGTACTGCTGTACTCTTGTCCCCTCGATGCCACACAAGCTATCGACCCCCTTTACATAAGCTGGCAGCTGCTGTGCAAATCCTTCATGCGATGACGCATGAAGCAGGACATGTTGTTGTTCCGCTGTGTGTGCACGAAAAAGAAATCACTAGGCGGTGTATAAACTCAAACACCTCGATCAAATCATCAACAACTTTGCCATTTCGAATCCTCTTTGGCAACCACAGGGGAACTCTCGATGCCCAAACTCACCATCACGCCGCCTGCCGGGCCGTAACCGACGATCGCAGCGTCGTACACAACGCGCTTGCCATTTGCTCCCCTGCCATCACCGGTTTTGCCGCCACCACGGCTAACTGACTTCATGAACTGCTCCATCATTTCCCCCATATCAAATGCCATCGATAACCTTTCCACGTTGCCGCTACGCCTGCTGTTGCGGTAGGCTCTTGAACGACGTCGTCTCGGTGGAGAAACTCGAGCTGGTAGTTTTGCCGCCCGGGGCGAGAGCCTCCTTGCCGTGGGGGCATGTTTCGCCACAAACGCTGTGGTTGGTGCGAGCAGCCCCTGCACCAGCAGTGCCAACAATGAGAACCCCGCAGCTTGGCGCATGGTGCTGCCGTACACGCAGCAATGTAGAGCGAGACAGGAGGAGCAAGACAAACACCCTGTGCCCAGTACGCTGTGCGCTGCAACCAGGGGGGCTACGCGAGCGCAAAATACCGTAGTGGATATATATATGTCAACGCACTTTCCATGCGCGGAGCCGCTCCCTACAGAGAGCCGGGCACTGGTCCTCTGGCTCTGGCTTGTTGCACACTGTCTCCACAGCTCGACACAGCGACGTCCCTTGACCAACGTAGTTCACTCTCTGCTGCTGTTCATAAGCTCTCCACGATGAGTCGCCCGGAGCTGCAGACTCCTCCGGAGTTGTTTTACAATGACAAGATGTCCAAGAAGTACAACTCCAACTCTCGAATGGTGGGGATTCAGGCGGAGATTTCGGACCGGTGCATCGAGCTCTTGAACATACCGGTGAGAGCGACAGGGAGGGAACACGAAGAATAAAACACTCCTTCATGTGGTCTTCAGTTCGGGGGTTGATTTGTTTGTTCGCAGTGCCGAAATTGCTTGGCGCTTTGGAGCCTGCGGGGAGACTCACAAGTGTATTTAGCGTCCCAGGTTACCAGCGCTACAGATGCGGTAACCATGGTGTACGTTGATTCGTTCGTCACGCGTGCAGCAGTCTTGTTGTTGTCCACGTGTACGTCTTCGCTGAAGCAAGCCTGTTGGGGCCGTTGGTGAGATAATCAGCGCATCAGTAGTCATATCGCTTTCCTTCCAATTGTGTAATTCACGAGTAGTTGTTGTTGTTGTTGTCTTCACATTTAAAACCGTTCCGATCTCTCTTTTACCCAGTACCTTCGGATGTCCGTACTGATCCAACACTCGACGCGGTCGATTCCCGTGGTCGCAGGCTAACTTACCCCAAATAGGTACACTCAAATAAAATGGCCCCGAGGGGTCCGCAAGTCAATATAAATCAACGACAGATATTCTGGAGTCCTCCACTCCCTCTGCGCGCTATGCGAGGTAACAACTGAGACTAGGGGTCACCATCACGGGCCGGAGAGAATGAGGTACACCCCCTTGGTTCAATCTTGGTATTCACAACGCCAGCAGAAACAAGGCCATCTGGCACAGAGAAAGAGAGAAAAAGAGAAAAAGAGAAGAAAATAAAGGACACAGCGGTAAGGAAAGAGAAAAGGAAATAAAAAGAGCGAGGACAAAAAGGGACCAGGCCGAAAATAACAAGAAACAAGAGACGGAAAAAGGCCAACACGGTGGAGAGACCACTAACGACAAGCAAACACGCAAACATGGCCACCAACCAGCGATGCATTGTAATGGCACATCATCACTAGTGGGGGATTGGTGTAATGGTGCAGCGTTGGGGGGGGGGAATTGGCTAAAAGAAATTCAATCCGGCACGTTTCGCGCCACTCGGTCCGTCTCTTCTCGTTTGCTTGTAGTAGTATGTCATCTGGTTTGTACTGAAGTACTGTTCAAGAAAGCAATGTTAGATGATGAATCTGGACTACCGTATATGACACAAGATATCACACCCCCATGACCGATTTTCGAAGCTCGATTTCTCAACTGCAGGAACAGTCACAGCGCCGAAAATGGCGGCGTTGAACCGTCTCGTCGAGAACTTTTCGAAAATGTATCATTTCGTGTGTGAATGCTCTTCGTGGAGTAATCGAGCGTTGAAAATCGGTCCGGGGGGTGTGTTATCTGTTATCTTGTGTTATATACGGTAACCCACTTGGTGACTGGCGAGTTCGACACTGCGCCAGACAGAGAGTTTGGCACTCAACTGCGTGATGAACGCGATGGAACTATTAATACTCGGACAAAATCTAGGACTCATGTCCCTATTGAACGCAGTTATCGCTGTTGCGGTCGCTTTCAGCCCCGCACGCGGTACACGACACATGTTACCTCCGCGGTTTTTTGCTCCAAATGTAAACCATGCGTACCTTTTACACGTGCCTTTTACAGGCGCGCACGCCGCCCCACTTTTCGGCCTCACGTTCGCGTGCTGATTTCACACTACACGTTCCGGTCCTTTCTGTACTTGAAAACTACCAATCCGTTCTTTTGCCCCCAGCCAGGGCAATCGTGCTTCATTCTGGACGTGGGATGCGGCAGCGGTCTTAGCGGAGAAGCGTTGGAAGAAGCCGGTCATGTCTGGCTTGGCGTAGACATCAGTCGCGATATGCTCGACGTTGCGAACGAACGGGAGACAGAGTGAGCCTCGATTTGCAGCAGAACTAATAGTCCCTCTCATGGACAAGTGTGGCGAAACCACATGAAATTCGCGTCAACCTTTTGCATCAGCAGTAAACCTCGCCGTGTGCATAGAATGCAGTGAGACGTCTGCGCAGTGATCGTGGCAGCACGCCCTCAATTGTCCTCGAAATTGTCCACTTTTCAGCTGTCGCTGTTTCCCGCAATGCCATCTACTTTGTCGTAGTTGTGCTATCTTGCCACAACGATTTCAACGCGATGCACTCGTACAGATTTTTTTTTCGTGCACAACTACTGTATCTACAGTTAGGGGTGTCAAAGCGGCGGAATTTGGGGCCAAAAAAACGTCCGGTCCATTCTGCAAAATTTGAGGGGGGCACGCGGATTTGGTTCTTTTATTGGTTCTTGAGAATACCACTGTCAATACTGAATAAACTATACATCAAGTCAATTTGTTTGTGCAGGCAGCTCTACGTCCAGACAGGAGCATGGCTCTTCATGCGTTACACACACCTGGACACAGGTCCAATAGAGGTGACTGAAAGGTCGGTTTTATCTAAAGTTAAAGGGCGGACGAACAACACCAAAAAACATGTTTTTTGGGGCTCTTTGCTCCACGCCCAAGGCGACCTTTGCTCCTCTTGTGAAAGCGACCTTACAGCCCTCTCTACCTTGGGTTTACAGCTATACCACATAACAAACCGCATCCGAATCGCATCAGCCAACCACGAGATCTACATGTACGAAAACGGCCCCTCCAGTGGGGCTGCAGCGCCCACACCAGCAGACCCTCAAAAAAAAAAAATCGAGATCCGCGCCGTTCGGCAGCAGGAGGCGCGCTGCGCGAAAGCTGAATCAAAACAAAACGAATTTTGCAGAGAGCACGGGGCAGTGTATGGTTGCCGCGTCAGCAGCAGGCAACACCCGGCGCGCTATCGAGCGCAGCAGCATCACCGCCGCGCAGAAAGCGCTGGAAAGAACGAAGGAGGAGCTGGCCAAGTAGGAAAAGTGAGGAAGAGAGTAAAGCTGGTTGCAGCATGGCTCTGGAGTTTGTGCGCGAGAAAGACGAGGAGCGCAAGTCGGAGCGGGCATGGAGACAGCAGGCCGAGCAGGAGAAACAGCAGGCCGAGCAGGAGAAACAAGCCATTGGGCGAGAGGAGTCGGCGGTGGCGGGACAGCGCCAGGCGAAAGAGAGAACCCGCGCCATGGAGGAGGAGTTGGCCCTTCTGAAAGACCTGGTGAAAAAGCTCCGCAAAACCAACGTGAGCCTCTTCAAGTCTGCCGGGAAACCAATCGTCGCCGAGGAGACGCAACCCGAGCCAGAGGAGGGCAGCATCCGCAGCCTCGAAGACGAACTCTTGCTCGAGAAGGTCAAGGCGGAAAGACTGCAGCGGAAGGTGGACTACTTGGGGCCGCTGGTGGAGGGGCTCAAGCGACAAGTTTCGAGCGAGAAAAAAAAGGTGCGTGCGTGTTGTATACTATTTTGCAGTGATATTTTTGTTCATGTGTGTGTGCGTTGTTTATTTATTATTATGTGTGTTTTTATAATTACATAATCTGTTTTGCAGCGATATTTTTTTTCTTGTGTGTGCGCGTGCGTGTGTGTGTTGGGTATCTCTAGCTGTGTNCAGGTGCGTGCGTGTCGTATATTTTGCAGTGATATTTTTTTTGCTTGTTGTGTGTGTGTTTTTTTGTTTTATTAATATGGTTGTGCGTGCGTGTGTGTGTTGGGTATCTCTAGCTGTGTGGTTGCTTGAGGTCGCTCTGATGTCCCTGCTCCTTGTTGTTGCGTCGTTGCTGTGTGTGCTGCTGTTGGCTGCGCCGATGTCACCATGTATTTGTGCGCGCCTTGTGTAGTCAACCAAAATTTGTACGAACAAGTAGTTGATGTGTTGTGTTTTCAAAATAAGAAACTCCGCTGCCGCCGCTGCTGCTGCTCCTCCTCCTCTCCTCGTGTTCCAGACGAAGAGAGCCAAGGCGCGCGTTGAGAACCTCAAGGCTAACGAACCGGAAGAGGAACCGGAGCAAGCGGCACCTGGGGAGGAGAAGGGAGAGGGCGGTGGGGAGTTGCTCTCTGCAGAGGACGAGAAGAAGGTGCTGATGCGCGCCATCAAAAAGAGGCTCAAACCCGGCGGAAAATTTGGTGAGACTGCTGCACGGCTGTTTAAGAGCTTCGTGGAAGGGGGGGTGTCTCTCAACATGACTCCGCAGCTGCTTCAGCCTACCGTGTTGCGCGCCACGGGTGTACAATTGAAACAAGATCTCAACATCACGTGTGCGTGCAACACGGTAAAGGTTCCTGCTCTCGGCATTACGCAGCTCGATGGCGAGGAGTTGGTCAAAGCAGTTCTCAGGGCGCCCTTTTTGTTGATTGCGGGTGACGAGTCGCTCCGCAACGGGGACAAGAAGTTCCCTGTCTTCGTCGCTTTTCACGACGTGGAGGCGGACGCGCCGTGGTTTGGCCTGTTGCGCGTATGCAGCATGAAAGACAAAACGGCAGAAACGCAGNGGAGACTGCTGCCCGGCTGTTTAAGAGCTTCGTGGAAGGGGGGGTGTCTCTCAACATGACTCCGCAGCTGCTTCAGTCTACCGTGTTCCACGCCACGGGTGTACAATTGAAACAAGATCTCAACATCACGTGTGCGCGCAACACGGTAAAGGTTCTCGCTCTCGGCATTACGCAGCTCGATGGCGAGGAGTTGGTCAAAGCAGTTCTCAGGGCGCCCTTTTTGTTGATTGCGGATGACGAGTCGCTCCGCAACGAGGACAAGAAGTTCCCTGTCTTCGTCGCTTTTCACGACGTGGAGGCGGACGCGCCGTGGTTTGGCCTGTTGCGCGTATGCAGCATGAAAGACAAAACGGCAGAAACGCAGGCTCAGCTGTTTTACGAAACGATCGTCGACACGCTTGGCTACCCAAAACACCAGGTGCTCTTCGTCTTGAGTGATAACACCGCATCTGTTTCCTCCGAGGGGAAGGGTTGTGTGAAGCTGTTGCAGAGAAAGCTACGGGGTGAGGACACCACCAAGAAACCCCCCACAAGAGCTACAGGGGGAGCCAGCAGCAATAGTGGTCNATGCTCTTCGTCTTGAGTGATATAACCGCGTCTGTTTCCTCCGAGGGGAAGGGTTGTGTGAAGCTGTTGCAGAGAAAGCTACGGGGTGAGGACACCACCAAGAAACCCAGCGGGGCGGGCGGGGTGGGCGGGGCGGGCGGTCGGGGTGGGGCTGCGGGCAAACAAACGCAGTAAAGCCAGCGGCGGCGGCGCCGCCGCCGCCCCCAAAGGAACGGACAAAAGGCAACGCAAAGAGAAAGGCGAAGGAGGGGAGAAAGGGGAAGGGAAAGGGAAAGCAAAGGCGCCGCCTCCTCCAGCAGCTACCAGGACGAGTGGTCGCCAAAGGACGCAGATATTGAAAGCCAAGGAGGGAGATGGGGGGGGCAGCTCGGAAGAGAGCGGGTGTGAGAGCTGAATAATTTCAGAGGTGGTGTGCAGCTTTCAGTCGTTTGATACGTGAGCTCTGCGAAGATGCTCTCGTGCCTAGCTGCAACGTTATGTCATGTGTTGGATGCGTTGTGTTGTGTGCAGCTCGCATGGTAGTGGGGGGGATTGTTATCGTTTGTTTCCTTCGGCTTGGCGTGAGGTGTTCGACGTTTGGTTGAAGTTAAACGAAAATTAGCGCGATTTTTGATGCGTCCTCTTGCGTATGAGCACGCACGACTACACGAGTGTTGAAAAGCAAGATGGTGTGAGAGACAACATACGGTCGGTACCCGACCTTGTCGGTGCAGCCGCCTGAGCTGCAGCCTTCGCTTGTACACATGGTGGTGCACACGGAGAGGCAGAGTGAAAACATGACTTGCGATTTTGATTTTGTTCAACGTTGTAAAATCCACGTCACTCAAAACCCACGCGTCACTCCGACTCCGGCAACTCTGCCGCGGTCACCCGCGGCCGCCCGACTCCCTTCCTTCTCTAATACATGCAGCAAATCCTCTGCAGCTTCCGTTTCCAACACTCTTATTCTGCGTAAGTTCTCGGCCGGTTTGCGTGCGTGGCAGATAGCCTTTGCTTGCGTTGCCTCCTTTAGGACCTTGTTGCCGGCGCCACGAATTTGGTCACCGGTTGCATCGGCGCACACGATATCTCTAGACTCCGCTGATTTCCACCTCCCAACACGAACAATATCCATCTCAGCCATGTCTGTTTTCTTTGCGCATGAGTCGTACTTCGAAAAGAAGGCCTCGATCAACTNTCAACACGAACAATATCCATCTCAGTCATGTCCGTTTTCTTTGCGCATGACTCGTACTTCGAAAAGAAGGCCTCGATCAACTGCTGGTGAATGGGAACGAAGTAGAATCGGTGACATACCAACTGGTATAGAAGGGGAAAATCGAACAGACGCGCCAGTGCTGACGTACCCTTCGGTGCACTCTCGTCAATCTCCTTGTCAACCCACCCAGAATTCGCATACTGCTCGAGTTCAGTCCTCACAGAAAGATCCCCATCAATACAGAAAACAGCCCGAACGTCAACTCATCTTTCCTTCGTGCCTCGGTGGTTCCCTCCAAATCCTTCACGAGCTGCGTTCAGTACTCTCTCTCCCTCTCCGTGCGTGGCTCTCCCTCGTAGAGACCAGGCCACGCTACATGGAGGAAAGCACGCGCAAACTCCGGCCCCACCACCTGCTCTACAGCCCACCCACCCCCATTACCGTAAATGACACAAGATAACACACCCCCTGGACCGGTTTCTTCAAATCTCGATTTATCAACAACCGAAAGATTCACGGCGCCCAAAACGGCGGCGTTGGAACCGTCTGGTCGAGAGCTTTCCAAAAATATATCGTTTCGTTTATGCATCCTCTTCGTCGTGGAGTAACCGAGCATTGAAAATTGGTCCAGGGGGTGTGTTATCTTGTGTCACATACGGTATTCCTTGTCGAGCTTAAAACGAGGAGCATCCAATCCGCGCCATGCTCAGAGGTAGCTCCTGATGCCGCTGCATCCACTTGATCCATCGCTTCTTGAACTCGGCAATAAAAAACCTGTCCTCGCTGAAGTTCAACATGAAAAGTTCCGCCTGCAGCATCAGGACAATGTGATTGGCGACCAGTTCAAGCGGCAAAGGCATAAGTGTTATCATAGCATGACCATCGCAGCAGTAGCAGCAGTAGCCACCAGCACCAGCCGATACAAGCAGAGAGAGGTAGCAGCACGACGCTGAAAAACATGGCGGAAGGGAGCCAGCATGGAAGAACAAAAATTGTGATGACGGCCGTTCGTACAGCAGCATTTTTGCTGTGCAGCGGTTGTGTTCTAGCCACAACCCCGCTATAATCCAAACTGCAATACTCAGTCCCGCCACCACTTACCATCGGGTCGCTCAGGGTAGTTCGAACGCGATCTAGCAGCGCCGCGAAGTACGCCTGGGGATCCTTGCGGATCGTCTCCAACTTTTGGAGCAGCAGGCGAGGTAGGTCAGCCACCTCCACCAAATGCATCCCAGGAAACAGCCGCCGACCCACCCCTTCGGCCGTCAGAAAGAACCCCTCCTTGCCATGAATCCAGTTGTACGCCCAGTCAAACAACAGCTCTCCGAGCCTTGCCGTGAACATGACATGCACACGAACCAAAGGATCTCGAAGCATGTAGTCTACGCCGACTGGACCCAGTAGTTTCTGAAAGTTGTCTAGCAGCGTACTCGCAAAAAAGCCACTCGACCTGCTCCCAGCGTTCACAGAGGAGCTTGGCCCCGTCCATAACCACCATCCAACGCGTCTCAGCAGGCCTGATAAACTTGATGAGCCACGGCTTCGCGTTAGGTAGCTGCGCCGCCACTACCCTTTTCCACCGCTGAAAATTTGCGTTCGACGATTCTGAGCGGCTTGTGTTGTAACAACCATCCCAAGAAGGGAGAAAACATGGTCGCGCTCCCACTCATGCCAGGAACCCTTACCAAGCGGGCCCATGAAGAGCGCGCTGGTCATGCCCGCGGTGATGGAGATGTGCAGGATGTGTAGCACACAACCGAGACGATGCGCGTGGATAATGGGGGGCTCCTCCTGATTGCTGCTGCCGCCGCTGCTGCTGCTGTTTTCTCCAGCACCAGCGGCAGCACCAGCACCAGCAGCAGCCGTCGGTGCGATCTCACCACCCGGGGGCTGCTCGGGCGTGTCATATGACATATGCTCTAGACTGGGACCGCGCAATGGTGTTGTGTTGTGCCCCGTAGCAGGGCGCAAAGCACACAGGCGAGCCGCGCCCTCGCGCGTGTGCGTCAGAGGGTCTTTTCGGGAGGTTCCGACGGTTCCGTGCAATTTCATCGGTTGGTCGATTTTCCATCAGCAAGATCCGAGGACGCTTTTTCAATTTTTTCCCTATAGGAATTTTCCCGCTTTGACACCCGTAACAGTTGCCACTTAATTATTCGACGCGTGCTTTTGCTTCTCCCGCAATATTGCATCCAGTTTCGGTGACTTGTGTCAACACGACATGGGCACTGGGTTACCGTTCCGACCAGCGACGTTCGACGGCTGCATCAGCGTGTCTGCTTTGCAGGTGATTTTGTCATCGCGTAGCTGTGTTTCGATGCAGACCAATTTTCGGTATACTGTACCCGCCCACCGCCAAGAAACCCACTTTTGGGGTCTGAAAACGGCGTGGCCATCGCTGTTTGTTGTGACTTCCAACGGGGGCTAGAATCGTTCGCGTACTGCTGCTCACGTGTGTGGCCGTCGCATTGGCCGCTGCTCTCTCGCGTATGCCAAGATTTTGATAGCGGCAACAAAGATCTGAGCACCACAAAGGGTTGGAAGGCGATCGCGACACGACGATAAAATTTCCCGCAAAACGCCGAAGAGAAAGCGGTGAGGATATCAACTTTACTTGGGTGAAATGTGGCTGGCAGGTACATGAAAGAACACCCCAGTATCGATGTTGCATCAAGTAAAAGATGCTAGAGAGATTCTTCGTCTGGCATGGGATTGGTGTTCATGGCCAAATGACAGAAGGAAGGCATCAAATGAACTCGCATCCATTCATTTTGTGACCTAGCCTTTACCCTCCCCCCCTCCCCGTTTTCGATACCCCTTCCCACGACGACGACAGTGGCTGTGCTATGCGCAGACGAGTGAGCAGGTAGCGAAGACCCGTTTGCTCCGTTTCTTCTCGTCGCTGTACGCGACACTCAAGCGAGGCTCCAGAGCGGCGCTACAGTTTTACCCGGATAGCACCGAGCAGGCGGTCCTCATCTCCTCTTGTGCTGCCAGGCAAGATGGGGTGGTTGATGTGCATGTGGCAACCGGGAAGGGTCCTGTGTTAAGTGTTAGAGGACGACGATTCGTTCGGGGTGAGAATTGGACAGACATCTCGCCATTCAAACACATGTGCGTGGTAGGTTCGTTCGTGCAAAGAGGTGTTATGTCTCTGCGTGGAAGATGATCGATGCGTAGATTTCTAGGCGGACTGCCGATGTATCATCAACACAATGGGTTGGAGGATAGAAGAACCCCAAGTTGAAAGTGCACTCGCCGCGAGCGTCGGTTGCGTGTTCGGAGCTGCGAGGCTACCTTGTTCGTGCAGAGAACCCGAACGTCATGCGATTTTTCCTGAGTTGTTACCGACAACGAACCGCAGTGCCTACAGATGCGAAGTGACACTACCATTGGTTGATGCTCAGCCGACGCCCCGCCTCCTCTCCCATCACGTTGGTTTCTCTTGCCGATTTCCCTCAGGGCGGGATTCACCGGGGGGCTGGTGATTGACTATCCCAACTCTACCAAGGCCAAGAAGTACTACCTTTGCCTGAGCTTCGAGCATGGCTACAAGACACCGGCGGCGAAGGTGGCCGAACCGGAGGGCGGGGCAGCGGCGGCCAAGTTTGACGTGAGTGGGTGTTTGAGGGCGACGATCGCTCCTTCCACATATAGTCCCGTTTGTGGCAGCGACAACAGCACGGCGTCCCCCTGTGCAGAGCTTTCCTTAGCGCGTTTGGTGTTTTAAACGACGAGAAAACGTGTGGTTCAGAATCAAACATTCGGACGAGGACTTCAGTTTTTCGTGCTGCTTGTGCTTTTTGCAATTTCTTTGAAACCGTACATAGCCAATGCGGGCCAGGAACAACCAAGAGGAGTGGCCAAAATCGGGTACACCCGGCCCGAATCCGACCATTATCGGGTACCTTGTTGTACACAGTCGGCAGCGCCCTCCTGGCGCAATCTGATTGGCCGACGCCCGCCCCTACCCGGCCCTGACCCTATTCCCAACGGGTGCACCCGATCTTGGCTACTCACCCCCCGGAAGGGTACCCGATCTTACTCTCGCCTACCCGAAAATGGCTGGGCTATTCGACCAACAGACCACCAGCAGACCACGCTCACTAACACACGTCACCAACACCCCGCACTCGAGTTCCGACGCTTGCGACGGCGGGCGGAGGCGGACCTAACGCGGCTAACGCGGCGAAACTCTCGTTTGAAGTGGATCTCTCTCCTGCAAGACTCCTCCTGCAACCCACCGCCGACGGCGGAACTCTCTTGGTTCTCGTTTCGTATCGGAGAGGGAGGAGAGAGAGGGCCAGGCGGGCGGCGGTGGATGAATACCGTTCAATACCTCACGTGATCACTTGAGCTGGACACAAACACACAACGCAGCTCAGATATGTCCACGGAAGCATCAGGCACAGAAGCATCAGGGTGTTACTTTCGTCTGGAATATATGTATAGACACATCAAGACCGGAGATGTATGGCACGTTGTTGTGTACGCAGAGGGTCGTTCGTACACAGCAATGCAGCAGCAGCAAGCAGTGGATGCCGTGGTTATGTCTTGATCAAGACCGAAAATTTATGACACATGTTGTGTAGGAAGAGGATCGTACAGTAATGCAGCAGCAGCAAGCAGTGGATGCCGTGGGACCTCGGGTTAAACAGCGATAATACTTCCTTGACTTCGACCTCTCGTGAGTACGTGGGAGAGACAAGGAACTGCGGGCTTGCCACAGGAGATGGGGAAAGATAGAGAGGGTGGTGGTGCACGCAGCATGAACCTGTCCAAAGATGGCTGGTGGTGAAGTAGCACGCGCCTTGCGCGAGGACCGCGGTGTTCTTTACTTCATCGCTCATATTCTGCCGATGCCAGTCTACCGCTCAGGCACGAGTGCCGAGATTAACCACGAGAGACTTGGTGGGTTGAGGCGCGAGATCTACTTCAAACGAGAGTTCCGCCGCGTTGCAGGAGAGAGATCCACTGATCCACTTCAAACGAGAGTTTCGCCGCGTTAGCCGCGTTAGGTCCACCTCCGCCCGCCGTCGGAAGCGTCGGAACTCGAGTGCGGGGTGTTGGTGACGTGTGTTCGTGAGCGTGGTCTGCTGGTGGTCTGTTGGTCGAATAGCCCAGCCATTTTCGGGTAGGCGAGAGTAAGATCGGGTACCCTCCGGGGGGTGAGTAGCCAAGATCGGGTGCACCCGGTGGAAATNCTTTCGGCCTGTGAGTAGCCAAGATCGGGTGCACCCGGTGGGAATAGGGTCAGGGCCGGGTAGGGGCGGGCGTCGACCAATCAGATGGCGCCAGGAGGGCGCTGCCGACTGTGACAAACAAGAGTACCCGATAATGGCCGGATTGGGGCCGGATGTACCCGATTTTGGCCACTCCTCAGCAACCAATACAATCCCTTCGATCTCTCGCTGATTACTGTACGAGCACGATCTGCTGAATGTTATCGACGCGATGCTCCCTCGTTGCTCACAGGGTGGCAGCAGAGAGAGGCGCGGACACCGAGGGAAGCCCAAGAAGGGCAAAGTTGCCAAGACTCGAAATTGGGTGTTAGCGAAGAAGGACCAGCAGCGGCGGCAGGGGAGGGACGTCAGAGACGACAACAAGTTTACAGGTCGCAAACGAAAGGACAAGTTCTGATTTATCAGGCTGGACGCTGGGTGCTGGGTGCTGGGTGCTGGCATAGCTGGACAGGGGATTCTCCCCTTCTTATTCGAATGTGTTTCCTTGTTTTTACCATGCTTCCTTTGTTGTGCTTTCGAAGGTGTTGCCTTGTGTCGAACATGAGTATGTAGACTATACCCAGACATGATCCAATGCCCGTTAGGTGGCTTGAGTAGATCGAGAATTGTTGCGCGTCATCTGTGTGTGTAGCAGTGTCTCATGGTTGAGGTTATCTTCGGATGCGAATTTCAGCTTCGAGGCATGTCAAGTCTCAATGAGGACCGCATTTGATTCGAGGCGGCAAATTTGCTGCACTTGCATTGATGAATCTGAGAGCAGAATGGATCACGATCCAAGATTCACGTTAGATCCTTGGTGGTCCCACGCTTCAAGCAGTAGGTAGGGTTAGGGCTCGGAGGAAGGCATCTGCAAGCTTGTGACACTCTCGCAAAACCACTGAAGAAACGACACTCTACCCTAGCTAATGCTTTTGGTGTCGAAGGGTTGCGTGCATACGTGGTGTGTAACACGCACAGATCCGCGTGGGTGCGGGATACGTGTGTGTTGCTGCAAAGATCGACGATGGCCACGAAATTCAAAAAAAATTCCACACGGCGAAGGCACCGCGCGTGCTTATGTTTCTACGACCGCCGGTCCCGATTGCTGCCACCAGTTCGTGGTTTTCCTCTGGGAAAGCACCACCCGCGAGGATCTACTTGTAGAAACACTCCCGTTGGTGGATGATACATCACATTCAACACTTAAATACAAGATATGTGATGAGAGCTGATGCTGTCATAGTGATGAAGCGCGTGGGATGGAGACCTCGAGCGAACGCATGTGATGTTTTTTCGTTACGGAATTTCGTCGTCGAAACGACAGGGATGGTGGCTACAAAGCATCAACATGTAGCCATCTACTGCTGTAGCCCTGCTGTGGTGCTCAAGGGAGTGCCTCGAGCCCTACCATCGCCACCCTCTTCCTAACCACCTCTACCGGGGAGCTCACTTCAAGGCACAGCAGTCCCCACATACGGACAAGTGCTAAGATTTCTGGAAACAGCGTCACCCGTCAACCAATCAAAACAAAAGAAGGCACCGGGGGAGGGATAGATGGAGAGAGAATGGAGCTGCGCTCCAGAGCCAGAGTCCTTACGAAGAGTCATTCACGCACAGCAACCAGAGTAGTCCACTACACTATTGGCGCGAGGTGCACGATATTCAAGATTTTGGCGTGGAGACGAGACCCACGTTAAGCGTGGTCGTGGTACCTGTCCAGGCGTTTTGCTGCGGTGCTACAGCAGTCAGTGCATGGCTCCGTCGAACTACGGTAAACGGGGCAGCGGGGGCTCAGAGTGGATGAGAGACGAGGTGATGATAGCGGCCGACGCTAGGCCGCCGGCCAAAGCCCGCGATCAGAAGGGCACAGCAGCAGTAGCGGGCCACGACAGACATATCAAGGGCGACGAGAGGAGAGGCGGCGGCGAGGCCAAGCACCAGGGCAACATCTTCACGGCTATCGTGGACTTTTTCGCCCACCTCGGCAAGATCAACAACAACAACAACAACACCAGAGGGAGTCGAAGCCATTCTTCGACGGATGATAGCCTGTCAACTCCCCGCACGGCCGACGAGAGCGGGGAAGAGAACGACCGGTACGACCGCGACCCGGGGCCCCTCCTGGAGCCCGGGTGGGCCGCACGCCGCCCGGACGCGGGGGGGCGGCAGAGATGGAGTGCGTCGAAGCCCGTGGCGATCAAGGCGGCCGGGGTGCGGGAGCCCTTACGCGCGCACGCGCTCGAGGCAAAAGCACCCGGGACCCGCTGCCACCAGCGTCAACAGGAGGAGGGGGAGGAGGATGGTGGGAAGGCGGGGAGAGACGAAGAGAGGAGCGTCGAGGTGCATGGGACCGACGAGGACAAGCTTAAGGCGTGGCGACAACAGCGCATGGCGACGAAGCGAGGGTCGTTCACGGTGAGACGCAGGGCCAAGACGGTAAACCAGTTAGTATGAGCGCATATCAAAAGTCGACGTGTCATTTTTTTTCTTATTGGGTGCTTCAACCTTCAACAGCTGCCCGTCTGGCGTGCCGTATACCACCACCCAAAACACATCAGCCTCTCCAGGTAGCAGTGTTTATTGAACCTGCGACGTGACGGAGCCTCGACTCTCGATTCTACGGCCGAAGCTGACCCAAAACCCACATGGACGAGCGTCCACACCACACTTGGCTGATTGGAATCTCCGCGAACCATGTAGCAGATGAACCTATATGTCATAATGATGATCAGTCAGCTTTGTATTTGTTCAACCGCGCCTACGGTTGTCACTTGCTCGATTCCAGAGTTCCACAGGCCCAAAAAACTGTTCCAATCAGACCCGGTGGAGACGAAGAGTTTACAGCCAACGGCACTCGTAACATGTTGTTTGTCCAGACTCGCCGTGCTGTCGCGAGCCCTATCTCTCAGCCAACTAAACCCTACCCCTCCCTTCCGAACCAGAGATGCAAATAGCCCATTCGTTGTCAGCCACGATTTTGTAGAAGGAACACATCGAATCCATCTCTATCTAAGAAAAGAGTCCAAGACAGATTAGCAATGAATCCATGGCGTCAGTGAGGTATTTTTGCACTTTCGTGCGCCAACCATTGTGCCGTCGGGCCTGGCCCCGCCGCGAAAATTGAAATTTGCTTGTTGGCCGAGGGTGCGCCGCCCCTGTACACATGTGCGCATGAACCGCAAACCATTCACTTGCCGACGGCTGATGGTGATAGATACGGCAGCCTTCTGCAAAGGGCTGCATGAAGGTGTTCGGCACCACACACACGTAACCCGCATGCATGCCCCTCTACCACAGCTCTAGCTCTTCATAACCTTCGAAATCGATCGTTTCCGAGATGATGGGCGTCCAAATCAGATGGACTTGTCAAGTCACATGTCTACAATTTATAGGGCATGACCCTCGCCCGCAGCGAATAGATGTTCGGTTCAATTTGGATGGGAGCAAGGCTGAATGGAACATTCGTTCCCCTCCACAGACGAATTACCTACAATAGCCCTTTAAATATTTGGGTATATTTACATGTTTCCTCAAAGAACGTTGCGCAAGGCTTGTGTGGTCTGTGGGGTTCGAGATAACACCAGACCAGCAGCGGTACCTCTTGCAGGTGACGTCATAGAAGTTTTTCTCATGAGTGAGTCATATGGGGGAACTTTCACTTTGTCTCAAACACGTATCAGGTCGAAGGCCAAAATGGCAGCGGGCATGTACATATGCGTATGCGTATGACCAGCGGCTTCACCGCAAATCATTCAATCTATGATGATATTTCCTCTGTTGTAAGACGAAACCTATTTTGCCGACAGAGGATACAAGCATTTGCACGTTGCTTTCGAAGACCTCGCACGCGAACGCGGCTAGCTCGGCATTTTACCAGAAGACGGTTGCCTCCACGTTTCCCAGTACTGGCTTATGCATTCATGTTCTTCCGTGCGTGTGTGCTGTGTGTGGTGTAGAGCTCACACCAGGCTCAACCTCTCATCCTCTCATTAGAAAGGGAGGGGCGGCACGAACCGAACGCGTTGCGTTGTTAAAGACGACGAGGTATCATGCTACATGGAGTTAATGAATTAATAAGAGCATGTAAAGTTAGAGTTGGCGGCAGCTTTCCCGACGCGCCTCAAGCACACAGCATAGTTTTCGCCACACAGCGCCTACGAGTGTGGGGCCGCGAACTTCAGTGCAGCTCTTCCCTCACATATCCTACTCGTCGCCATGCAGTACATTTGAACGCCAGTGTAATGTTTGTAAGTATTAGGTCTCCCCAAAGCGATGGTTAAAGTTTGAAGGTTTCGAAATCTGACCGCACAGCAGGTTTAAAATCCTTAACATGGAGGCATGGACACGTTTCCTGTTTTAAGACATGTTCGAACTCCACCGCGTCCTTCGATGACTGTCTTCGGCGGTTACTGTTATGCTGTACATATGTTTGTTCTTTCTCTTTTTAGTTCGTTGAGGTTCGCTGGTCTCTTGGAGTCAAAAACACAACAATCTCGCGAGCTGTCGAGCTTGACAAACTTCACACAACAGCCGTGTGGTCCCACTACTGCCGCAGGAGGAGAGGTTCGTACCGTGCTACGCGACGGTGACGTCGAACATGTCGACCGAGTCTTTCCATGAGATGAAGTACAAGGCGCCGGACAGAAGGGTTTTCAGTGCGGTGGCGCCGCCGAGCTCGGTCGCCCGGCCTAACTACCACGACGCCTTGCGGAGAGGTGAGCTATAATAGCGCTTGGAGAGAGAGAGCGAGAGAGAGAAAGAGAGCGGGAAGATCGCAGGGTCGCCCGTTGGAATGGAGGTGGCGGAAGTGTTGCCGGCAGTCGTTCTTGAGTGGTTGGCGGCACAAGCAGTAGATTATTGACAACTACATGTGATGGATACAAGCGGTCGAAGGATTCATTCCAGGGCCACCCTAGTGGCAGCACGGCCATGTGTAGGGTAGGCGGCGGCAAGTCAGTGTTTTTCTGAGCTAAGCTTGGGAGATGCAGGTGCTGAAACAACGACCGACTATCTTCCGTCCGGAGGAATGAATCGCGGATCTTTTGCTCCACACTAAATAACATGCTCATACACATGT